AAAAAAAAAAAAAAAAAAAAAAAAAAAAAAAAAGATGAGCCCACGAAGGCTGTAGGGTGCATGAACAAGGTGTAGTTGTATTTTTATACACTTGCAATGAACAATCTAAAAATGAAATTAAGAAAGTAATTCCAGTTCCAACAGCAAAAGAATAAAGTACTTAGAAATAAATTCCACAAGAGAAATATAAAACTCAGGCTCTAAAAACAAACCACTGTTGAAAGAAATTAATGAACTAAATAAGCGGAAAGGCATCTCGGATTGTAAGATAGGATACTGCAAAGATGGTCACATTCCCCAAGCCGAACTACAGATTCCACACCATCCACTGCACCTCATTTCCTCGTAGAAATTGACAAGCAGGGAATAAAGAGCTAAAACTGTGAGACTGTCAGTGGAGGTAGGTCAGTGTGAAAGTGCTCGTTTAACATGTACCCGACCCTAGGTTCAATCCTTAGCACCTAAACCAAACAAATAAATAACTTTTAGAGGGAAATCCAGGCTTACATCTTCATGACATAGAATTTAATAAAAGATTCTCTGATCTTTAATAAAAGATTCAAAACTATAAGCAACAAACCTGGGTTAAATGATACACACCTGTATTCCCAACACTCAGAAAGCCGAGGCAGGAGGGTTGTGAGTTCGAGGCCAGCACAGATTACATAGTGAGACTTTGTCTCAAAACACACACACACACACATACACACACGCATGCACACGCAAAAGCACGCACACATGTAAGCACATGTGCACACACAAAACATCACCAGCATACTGGACTTCATCAAAATTAAAAACACCAACAGAAACCACAGGAAAATGAAAAGATATCCATAGAATGGAAGAGAATATTGGCACATTATATATCTGACAGGAGACTTAAATAGGCCAAAGATCTGAATAGCTTTTTCTCCAAAAAAGATATGGAAATAGCCCAAAAAATATATGAAAAGATGCTTGAAATCATTACTCATCAGAGAATCAAAATCACAATGAGATTTCGCCCACCAGGACAGCTAAAACCATATAGTTAGATGGCATGGTTGGTCAGGATGTAGAGAGGCTGGAAACCTCTTACGATGTTGGCTGGGATAGGAAAGGCCCCGCTGTGTCAGAAATTGGTCTGATGGTTCCTCAAGCAGTTTCACCGGGTTACCATAGGCCCAGCAATTTCACACCGAGGTACAGAATTTCACCAAGACAAAAGGAAAGATGCGCCAACATAAAATCATCGTACATGAATGCTTACACCAGCGTATTTATAAAGCTGGAAACGACCAAGACATCCAACCAAAGACTAATAGAAGAGCAACTCTGAACGATGTGGTGCATACAGACACACTCACACACTGTGTGCTTTCATTCTTCTGATGGTGAACAGAGAAATCTGTTGTAGAGAAAGAAGGTAGACTAGCTATTTCCTAGGCTGGGAGACAGGTGGATGGAGGGGCGGGAGGTGACAGATAAGGCAGGGGGATGGGGTGAGGAAATGGTTTAAAATGTCTGTGAGGGTGGCTATACACTTTCGGGAATAAGCCCAAGCCCACTGAATTGTAACTGTCAATGGAGGAATAATGCATTAAACAAAATAAGGAAAGGAAAGCCTCATAAAGTTATTAGCTAGCGGAAAGATTAGGACCCCCCCGGAAGTCGATGACCTGTACCTCCAGAACTATTTTCTGGCCAGTTGGGAAGCCAAGGCCTGCACTACAAATGAGCAGGGGTGCTGGGGTCAGCAGGGAGCCCGGATATGTGGAGTCCTGAGGGGACCATTCCTGCCAGCCAGTAGGGCAGAAGCTATTCCCACTTTGCAAAAACAAAAAAAAAAAAGAAAAAACCCATGTGAATTCATAGCATCTTTTTTTGTTTGTTTTTCTGTTTTGCAGAGGATCAAACCCAGGGCCTTCTGCACACTAGGAAACTGCTTTACTCTCAGCTATGCCCCCAACCTCGACAGAGCCTTTTTGGCTTCATGTTTTCCTCCCGTAAGGGGTTTGTCATCCTCTGGAGTCTTTCTGTGCATATCGCCAGGCAAGTATCAGCAGACGACCAAGCCAGCAGGCTGTGATGATCACAACAGGCTCAGGCTCACAACAGGGGTGGCTCCACCAGCACAAACAGCCTGGTGGCAGCGGAGAGGGCACTAGGCCTCCGTGCCTCCGCCCCAGGCAAGGAGGGGGACGCCTGGGACCCAGACCAGGGTCTCAGAACCAGCAGAGGCTGGGACCTGAGCAGCAGAGATTGGTCACCTGGCAGGCAGAGTTCACAGCTTCGAAGACACAGTTCTCGAAGCTCCTGGCCACACTGTCGTTGGGGATGTTGGCATCCCACAGAGTGCTGCAGAAGGCAGAGATCAGGAGGCGTGGCGTCGCCTGCAGACACGGAGGGGTGTGAGGCGTGTGGACCACAGGTGAATCGCCCAGTCATTCTCACCTCCCACCCACTCCCACAATCTGAGCTCCTCCTCCCAGAGGCTGCACAGCCTCCCAGCTTTTGTCAGGAGCAAAAGTAAAACAAAGTGTCTTTCTTCCCACTCTGCAAAAACAAGAGCTTGGGAAACAGATAAATTTTGAGAAGGAAGTCATCTTTTTCCTCTACTTCCATTTTCCTAAAACGCCCCCTCTGACAGGTACTATACAACATTCACTGTGTAAGAGCTGACTTTTCTGGGGTCACAGTCTTGCATCCAAAGTGAAGAGCACTTTTTATGTTTTCTCCACTGTCACCGTTTTACGAAGGCTCCTGTCACCCACAGATCACTTGGAGAACTTGCCCCCGGGAGGGCTTTGCCCCAGTATGTTTAAGGTCCCTGTGATGGCAAGATCTCACTGCCAAGTTTCTCTCGGCGATCTCACACTAGAACTTCGAAACGCTTTTCTGTGGTCCAACTGAAGGCCAGATCGGGAACAGAAAGACACAATCATGGTTTATCGAATGCCCCACAGAGCCAGGCTGCCTGTCATGATGCACCATTCACACCCACCGGGCCTTCTCAAGTTCTGGTCTCACTGGTGCCCCTTCAGCCACCCCCACAAGAGTATCCCTGATGTCTGGTACCTGCTTGAGTCTCCCTTCCATGTCTCCCAGCAGCGATGTTTTCCAGCCGTGGGCCACGGGGAAGTCTATGTCCACCAGCCGCTGCCAGACCTGCAAAATTAACGGTCAGTGACAGCCACCAGGACACCTCTGCTGCCGGGTGGTCCTACAGAGAGGCCAGGCCACCCGGTGTGGGGACACACGTGTGTAGTCCCAGCTATTCAGGAGGCTGAAGCAGGGGGACTGCTTGAGCCCACGAGTGCAAGCCCAGCATACACAACACCGTCCCGACCACGTCTCAAAACAAGTCAGGCAAGTTGGGCACCGTAGTGTTGCACACCTGTAATCCTAGCGCTTGCGCAGCCTGGGGCAGAAGGGTTGCAAATGTGAACCCAGCCTGGGTAACTTAGCGACTTAGGGAGACCTTGCCTCAGTATTTAAAAATTTAAAAGGTGTGGGTATGAAGCTCAGTGCAAAGGGTTCAATCCTCAGGGCCAATAAATAAATAAACAAATATATAAATGCCAGGCGTAGGGGCGCGTGCCTGTCCTCCTTAGCACTGAGGTGGCTGAAACAGGAGGATCACCATGAGTTCAAGGTCAGCCTGAACTACATAGGGAGAGCCTGTCTCAAAAACAAACACTGTCAAGATCAAGGTCCCAACTTCAATTCCCGGTGCCTGTCCCCGCCGCAAGTATATATATTTATGTATATAGAGAGAGCAATCACAACAACCCAAAGGGAACTGGGCCACACGGGTGCCTGGCTCTGTCCCTCCCAAGTATTAGGGGCTCCTCAGAGTGGAGTCACCCGTGTGGCCTGGTGGACCCAGGGCCCTGACTGGACCAGCAGCCACCACTGTCCTTTCTGCTCCACAACTGGTTTGATTCTGGAAGGACTTCTGACCAGTACTGTAGTCTGAAAAAATTCAAACTTCAAAAAAAAAGTCCACGAAGACAGCAGTGACGCATATATATCCTTTCCACTGCAGTCCCGATCTTCTCATTTAATGCAGCGGCCTCCTCCGTCCGTCCCTCTCATCCTCCCTTCTTTGTGGAAATACTCGCGGGTGAGCAGCAGACCCCGTGACACGTGTGCACACACATACTGGGGCAGGTGTCCCCTCGCCCGCCCTGCCGCTCCATCTGGGAGAACACGCATCCCGCACAGGACCGAGGCCCAGCAGCATGCCAGCTGCCTGCCCCTGCCTCCTGCTGCCCACTTCCGCACCGAATGGACCGAGCATCCAGCTGGGTCACACAGCCCACCGCGTCTCGGCTCTGGAAGGGCGCCCTGCCGTTACTGTTACGAAGCTGACGATGCTAAAGCTCGGGCTGTTTCATTCACGGTGTCTCCATTGATTTCCTCCTTTTAAGGCAATTAAGATACCTGGGGCAGGAACCCTACAGGCAGAGCGCCGCGGAAGGCACTGTGGGCAAGTCCGGCAGGGTGAGCATCTGAGCCTCCACGCTGCCCAGCTGAGTCCCTCAGGTGCCTCCGCCCCTGCCTGACGCAGCACTGGGCGTGGTCTGTCGGACAGTCTGCGCTGTAAAGGTTTTCTCTTCTTCGGGTAGGAAAATGAAACCTGCGCTGTATTCTTGCCTCAATCCGTTGTTACTACCGGGTTCCAGGGTGTAAATGTTCTGGTTTTGTATTTTTAGTAGCAGAGATCAAACCCAGGGCTTTTGCACTAAGCTACATCCCCAGCCGTTTTTTTTTTGGGGTACCTGGGATTGAACTCAGGACCTTGTGCTTGCGAGGCAGGTGGCAGCACCACTGAGCTAAATCCCCAGCCTTTAAAAAAATTTTTTTTTAACTTTTTATTTTGAAACAGGGTCTCGCTACATTGCTAAATTGCCCAGCCTGGGCTCAAACTTGTGATCCTCCCGCCTCAGCCTCCCAAGTAGCAGGATAACATGTAACACTTTAATTTCATTTGGGTGGCACATCAGCCTGTTAGCCTGAAACTTCAGGTAGCAGTCGGGGAAGGATCATCTTATCCTCGATGGACACCGCAGGCTGGAGTGGACCAGCCCCTGCCTTGATGGAAGGGGCCTAACACAGAGGCTGAGGACAGGCTGGTGTCGACGTGGGAATAGGCACTGGCCACTGATGCAGGCGGCCAGGGAAGAGACTGCGCTGGCTGAGGGGCAGCCCGTCACGTCTGATGTCTTGTGTTCCTTGTAGTGCTTTCCCAGGGTCCACACAGCTCTAGACTTCGAGGGAACAATGTCCCACGTGGCAGCTGACTCATCCCCTGATGGAGTCTGCAGCGAGAAGGTTGCTGGGGGGACCCCCAGGCTCCCCACAGCTGGAAGAAAGACTTTGACGCTGCAGGACAGGGCGTGGGCTGTGGAGAGGGGCAGCTGGGCCTCCTGCCTTCGCCTCCCCTGTTGGTGCCGTCCAGGAGGGCGCTGCACCTCACGATGTGGGTTCCACCAGCCCCACAGACCAAACCCACCAGCTGCTTCTCCTCGCTGCGCTCTGGGCCGACCCTCCTGTGCAATCCTCCCCATGTCCAGCCTCTCAGAGGTGAAGGCCCTTTCCTCAGTGCAAACGGTTTGCCTCAGTTTCCCCACAAACAGCTCCTCCGTTCCTATCGCTTTCTGTTTCCAAAGCTGCGCACCTAATCAGAAGCTTCGGTCCTGACACCAACTCCTTATGTCCCTACAGGCCAGCCCTGCTTAGAGGTTCCGTTACACCTTGGAGCCACACAGACTCTGCAGGGGCCACAGGGGTCCCCTCCCTGGGTGACGGACTGAGGTTTGGGGCAAGACTCACAAAACATCTGCTGTGGCTCCACTGACAGGCGGTGATGGGTCACCAAGGCACATATCGCCAGCGGGTGCCTCGGCAGCTTACCATAATCTCCTTGGGGTAAGTGAACATGGCAGCTGACAGCGCCGGATACAACATGCTCATTTGCAACACTTTCTTGAGCCAGTTTCGGGTGGCAGTCAGAGCACCCTGGATCACAGCCTTGCTGGCTTCTGCTCCTGGGCCTGCTGTGTCCTGTGGGGACATGAGAAAGGTTACTGGCTCCATTCTGCAGCTCCCTCATCCCCGCCAGTGCTCAGAAGCCTTGTCCAAAGCCCACTGGACAAGCACTTTGTTCTCCCCAGAACCCTGGGCGTGGCGCTTGTGTGCTCTGATAAAGGTCGCACAGACTTGGCCTCACCAACAGAAGTCCTGCAGGCTGGGTCCTCAGGGGGCCCTGTCTCCTCCAGACCAGGTGAGAGGACGCCCAAAGCTTCCGGAGAGCCTGAGCCAGTGGGCCACTCACTCCATAGGACTAAGCAGCCATGTGCTGGCCAGGAGGTCAGTGAGCCCACTTCCCAGGCACTCCAGGAAAGGCAGTGCCTTCTCTCCTCCTCTGATCTCCACCAGCCACAGAACAGCCCCTCTTGCAGGCCACTCCCTCCTTCCTCCGGGAAGCTGAGTACCTCTCACCACCCAGGCCCTGCGGGGTCCCTCGGGGAGGCCTCGGGGTGTTTTTCCCACGTGGACCCACCACACCTAGCCCTGCATGTCTCCCTGTCCACCACACGGCCCTCTGCCAAGCTAGGGAGGTGCAGTGAATAGAGTTCCGGCCATAAGGAACCAACCAGAGCAGAAGACATGGGCAGCGCATGGGCAGATGGCCAAGCGAGTACCCATTAGCTGTGCAAGTGCCAAGACAGAATGACAGGAGGTGCTCTGGAGGCCCGTAACCAAGTGGAAGGAAGGAGAGGGTGGAAGGATGTGGCTCAGACTCAGGGTGACCAGAGCCCAAGGCACAGGGAGAGCAGACAGACTGCACAGACAACTCTCAAGAGAACACAAAGCATAGTGGCCCTTGCTTAAGGTCCCAGGATGGCATGGCAGCTTCCAGAACGTTCCAGAAGCCTCAGCAGGCTCATCCCAAGCACACTGTGAACTTGAAAGAGGGTGTCAGCCTCATGCAGCACCAGTCTTGGTCGGGGTCCCAACAAAACTCCAGGCCCAACCCCTGGACTACCAGCACCCACCACACCAAAAAAAAAAAAACAACAACAACAACAAAAAAAAACAAAAAACAAAAAACAGGTGGGCTGGCCTACGGAGGCAAGAGGTTTGTAAGATGGGATGCAGCTGTGTGAGAAGGCCCTAGAGTCAATCCTAGCACTGAAAGAGAAAGAAAGAAAAACAAACAGAAGCAACCTAAGGGAAGCACCCAAGGCTGAACTCAGCGGACCCTAGATTGTGCTCCTTTTCTCCACCTGAGTCTGATCAGTCTACCACCCCACCAAAAAGCCAAACCCTTGTCACGTCAGGTCTGTTTTGTTCAATTTTAGTGATACAAAGGTTTCCTGGTTTTATGGCATTGGGTAGTGTACTTGACTAACTCTAGATCTCAACCAATGATGAAGATAATAATTTCCCTAGAAAGATAAATCCTATATAACTGCCACACTTCTCAGACACAATTTATTTGGAAGGTGGATCCTGCCCTTGATGGATTAAATAGTGCTTACTCATGAGAGCCTCCTTTACCAATAAAATTAAATCTGAAAGGGTTTCTGTTATACCTTGAAGAAAAATTCAAAGGGATAAGGTTAAAAGATTAAGATTTAGTTATCGCTTTCTACTAAAGTGAGTTTTATAATACGGTTGAAAAATAGTCTCAATATGAGGTCCTCCGTCACTTTCAAACAGAATGCTCGGTGAGTGATATCCCAGCCATGGAAAAGCTCCTGGCACAAAAGTGCAAGGCTGAGTTAGCCACAATCTCTCTGTGGGAGGAGACAGCAGAACACGGCTCCTTTCGGGGTGTGAAGGGTGAGGCCTTCAGGGGCTGGGACCACCCTGTGGTTCGGACGTGGAATGTCGCCCAAGAGTCTCTCGTGTCTGGAAGCGGGCTCTGGAAGGTGACGGGATCCCGGGGAGGGCCGCGCGTGTCAGTCGGTTCATGCACTGCAGCGCGCAGAGCTGAATGCGCTGAAGGAAACAGGGCCTGCTCCCAAGGGTGGGTTACTGAAGAGACCTGGGAGGGTGTGCTCTGGTCCCTGGCCCCACCCTTCTCTCTCCTGCCTAGTGGCCATGGTTCGAGCGATTTTTTTCTCCTCCACACACTTCTGCTCTTCTGTTTCCACTTGGAGCCAGCCGACCATGGACTGAACAACCATGAAACCGAAACCGTGACCTAAAAGAAAGCTCGCCTTCTTTAGGCTGCGGGTGTTGGGTATTTGTCCCAAGGATGAGGAAGACACAGGGACACAGGGGCACAGAGCTGTGCATGTGGGACGTGGGCTTGACTACTGTACTGTATCACACGGCCTCACCCCAGCCGTCTTAGGGAAAACTGGTGTATTTTCCTTTTAAATGGAGGCGGCTAGAAACTCCTTAACTCCTGAGAACCATCTTAGAGGTACTAATTCCACTTACCTGTAGTGCCTGAAGTTTAATCATCTTGCAGATGAGCTCTGCAGATAAGGCCAGGATCTCGTAGAACCCCAAGTTTTCCGTGCTGCTGCAGACACCTTCATGCAGCCTGAGGCCCAAAGGCAGGTAGTACTGCACCAGGGTCTCCTCCAGAATTCTAGCATGGAGGGAGAGGAATCACCAACATCACCCAGAAGAAATGGGATAACCCTTTCCCTCTGAGACCTGCAAATGAGGCCTTCATCCAACCCGCTCAGGCCCTCGCCTGGGAAATTTCAAGCATCCTTGAACTTGTGATTCAGAAAGGGAAAAAAGTCCTTTTCCTTTTGCCTCTGTAGTTCCAACCATCCTCACAAAAGCCAGTTAAAATACTTGCGCCCACACCCCCTCGTTCTGAAAAAGAGCAAGGAACATATACCACTCATTATGAAAATACTATGACCACTGACAATCAGCTAAGCTTGCAGAGGGGCGGGCGAGCGCTAGAAACATGTGGTGTGTGGAATTTCACTCGACTCCTGTGGACCCGATTCTGTGTCTACTGATGGAAGTTCATGAAAGGGAGAGAGGAGGGATACAGCAGGGGCACATGGAGACCTGGTGCTCACCTGTGCTGCACACACCCCAGGGACCCGGGCAGGGGGCACTGGGAGGGACAGGAATCCCAGAACCTCCATCCTCGGCACACAGCTCTGTCCTGCATCCAGTTTGCTGTCCCTCCCAGCACAAGACAGCACACAGAGGGACAAGACGAATGATCTCAGGTAAGTACGCAAAGCCACCTGAGATTTTCATTTTATTTTGTTTTTGTTTGGTACCGGGGATCGAACTCGGATTCTTGTGCTTGCGAGGCAGGCGCCAGAACTAGTGAGCTAAATCCCCGGCCCTGATTTTCATTTTAAATGACCCAACTTGCGAAAGGTCTGCAAAAACTAAATGTGAAAACATGCAGGATGAAGTCAGGTTAGGCAGCGACTCCTGCGATCCCAGCGCAAGTCTGAGATCCACCTGAGTAACTTTGAGATCTTGTCTCAAAAGTTAAAATACTTTTTAAAAGGTCGGGGATATAGACGGCGTAGCTCAGTGTTAAGGCCCGGGGTTCAAACTCCAGTACCAAAGGAAAAGAAAAAAGAAATGCAGGACACAAATATAAACACGCAAAATATGATGATCATTTAAAAACAAACGAAAAACACACAGGCAGAAAAGACCAGATGGAAACAACAAACATCTCGGCCGCTGACAGCTGTTAAATCCTTGTGAAAAAATTAAATAATTACATTGGTGTCCCGTAAAGAGAAGGGGGTGCATATGGTAGTTTGTGATCTTCCCGTCCTGACAGCAAGGGTGAGACCCTGCCAATCAGCAGGAGCAGAGGGTCCCATCCAGGAGGCTGCGCTAGGCTTTTCTACTTACATGCCTTGGTAAGTGTCCACGAGCTGCAGCAGCTGCTTAAAAATGTCCTCAACATCCTAGGACCAAGAAGAGAAGGGGGAAATGGCAGGAGAAGCAAAGCTGAGAAGAGCCCTAAATATACCTGAGCAAATCGCTTTCTTCCTTCCGTCAAGTCTTAGAGTGACCAAGCACTAACTTCCTGTCTCACCGATAAAATTTGGGAGCTAAGATGACACCATTTTCTATACCCCAAAATCTGTAAAAGGAGAGGCAGCAGCTGCAGAACAGGTCCTGTCCACAGTGCCTGCTGGTTCTGCCTCACACAGTCGTACCTAACAACTAAAGGCTGTTGTTCTCTTGAGTTGTATTTAGCGAGAAACCAAACAAACTTAGAGAAATCAAGCTTCAGACCTTAAGATATGAGGGCCCCTTCTGGTTTCTCACTTCTCAGGGCTCCCTCCACCCCATCCGTCCTCTAGGAGGGGATCACCAGCCCCAGATGTCCACACACCGTCACGTTCTGGTGAGAGATCTCAAGTCCCGCCAGCCGGTAGTCAAGCCCCATGAAGCAGTCCAGCACGTGAGCAGGCACACAGTTCAGGAACTCGGTGGCTTTTTCCACATATTGAGCCAGGGCTCCCAGAGGCAGCAAACTAAACCAGGACCGGAAGAGGTACGCATCCAGATGCAGCAAATATTTCTTCCTTTCCACAAACTGAAGCAATTCATTCCTGAGTAAGAAAACAGCGAGAGAGAGGAGGCCCTCGGTGAGAGCACGAGACAGAATGAGATTAAAGGGACGCAAAGCTGGGTTGACAAAGTTGAGACTTTGCACGCGATTTCAATGTCACACAGAAATGAAACACGTAAAATTCACCGAGATGAGGGACCCCACAGGTGCTCTGTGGAGCGGAGGTAGCCACTGCGGAGGGACATGCACTGGGGGACTCCTTGGTGGTCACAATCGCACGTCAGAAAGTAGGGTGGGGGTCATGTGGATCGGGGACAGCTCCTGGAGATGGACGGGGACAGCCACACAGCCCCGGGGTGTGCTGGAGGCCACCGCTGAACGCTTCACAGAGCTTCACCTACTCAGTTATGTATGTTTGACCAGAATTTTAAAAAGATTTGAGGCCGAGGTGCAGCTCAGTGGCAGAGGGCTTGCTTAGCCACACGCGAGGCAATGGGTTTGATGCCCAGCATTGCATACAACAAGAGGGAGAATTCACCAGGAACGAGGTCTTTTCATGAATTCATGAGTGTCCTGGATTAAACCAAGCAGATGAGCTCAGAAAAGGTCTTTAAACAATGTGGGTTCTGCAGCTCTGTACTGGAGACCCAAAAACTTGACAAGCAGAAAATTAACAGAGCAAGGAAGTGGCTGAGTTGTGAAAAACATCCATACAGGTTCACTACACATGCTAAGGGCTACATGTGATTTTTTTTTTTTTGGTACCAGGGATCGAACTTGGGTCCTTTTGCTTGAGAAACACAATTTTTTGACACTTTTACTTGGAGGACAGGTCCTGTAGCACGGTGTTCCAATTGTCCAACGTTCCCAGCTACATTTCTTCTAGATGGTATACACATCTTGTCAGGACACTTAAAACACACAACTTATATAAATGGTTTTGAGGTGGCTTTAATTTCAAAAGGTTCACACAGTAGTGAAGAAACAAGAACTCAATTTAGCTCACTGTTTTAATCCCTAAAATCTTTAGGTCTGCTCCTCGTGGACTGGGGTAGGGTGATGAAGTCTGAAATAGCTTTTCTACAAAAAACAAAGTAAATGGAGGGGGTACATGGGGATTTAGCTCAGTGGTGGCACCTCACCTGCCTCACAAGCGCAATGTCCTCAGTTCGATCTCTGGTACCAAAA